AAAGACGAGAACGATATCGTCTGCGTACTCCAGATCGACAAGGTTTTCATCAGAGGCTATTTGAGCACCGCAGTTTTGGAGACCTTGTAGCGTTCATCTCATGATTTCATCTATCACGAAGTTAAACAGGAATGGGGAGAGTGAGCATCCCTGACGGACACCGCTTTGTGTACGAAAGCTGTTGGAGAGCTCGCCTTATACTCTCACACGTCCGGAAGTCTGAGCATACGAAGGACGTATTGTGCTCACAAACATCCGGGGCATTCCTTGGTGGGCAAAAATGCCCAGCAGAACAGCCCGATCAACCGAATCGAATGCGCCTTGGAAATCCAGCAATACTGGAATTGAATGTTGCTTATAGGTATGGCGTTGTTCTGTCACCTGACGGAGTGTGAACGTAACTCCTACCAGGCCGAAATCCCGCTTGCTGCTCTCGATTCAGTTTTTCACGAGCCACTGTAAGGCGACAAGGCACCAGCGACGCCAACAGTCTCGTTGTGACCGAGATCGAGCTGATTCCTCTGTGGTTGGTACACTCACTACGGCTCCTTTTTTGAAAATGGGCACTATCACTGGCTCTTCCCAGTTGTCTGGGACAGACTCCTTTTCCCAAATACAAGCACACACATTAGACAAGCGCTGACCGAGGAAGTCACGCCCATCTTTGAACCATGCGAGTGGGAGGTCATCCGGACCAGGAGCCCGGCAGTGCTTGTGAGAACATATGCAGTCGTTAACCCCCGAGGCCATAGGTGGTTCCACGTTCACCCTTACGGGGTTCTACGTCAAGTCTGGGCTCCAGATGAATGGTCACAACAGTTGTTTTTTTCGAAGTATTCGGCCCATCGGTCGAGGTGTTCTTTATTTGAGATGTTCACTGCTTCCTGATCCTTGTCGGTTTCGTTCACAGGCGGTTTCCGGGGACCGGTCGCATAAATCAACTGAAAGAATCAACGGACATTACTGGCTTTTTGGCCTCTTCCACTTCCTTGGCTTTATGTGTCCACCACACTTCACGGGCGGTTCGGACGTTCACTTTGATTTGAATTTCGATGATTGGTCGCATCAAGTTGTGCTCGGGACCAGCGGGATATTTCGATTTAAGCAGTGCCACCGTTCGGTCTGATATGCAGTGCTTGAGTGCGTCTGGTGATGCCGTGCCACAGGCGAAATTCCCAGCACTATGGAAAGAGATGACAATCTCGTTCCAGTGTGAGTTCACATCTGATGGTGGAGCATTTGGAAGAGGATCTAGTAGACGACTCTCGTAAGTTCGTTTAACATCCGGATCTGCCAACTGCTAAATGATTTGTCCGGGAAAACGTATGGGGAAACAGCTCCTGACGAGCGCGTGATCAGAGTCCACAAATGTGTTCCAAAACGACCGGCAGTCATTTATTGATTCGCGACATCAGTGACTGATGGCAATGAGGTCAATTTGAGTTTGTGGCTTGTATGCTGTTGGAGTACACCATGCGTCCAGACGACTTTGACTATTTCGGAAGTTAGTACCGCCTGCGATCGGCACACAGCTGAAGCAATCGTTTCCAATTTTGCCCGTACATACCCAGTCCAGTCCATGTCGACTTCCTAGTTGAGTCTCCGACACCCTAATCCTGCCCACTTGTGCATCCAAATCTCCGGCAACTACCACTATGTCTGAGCTGGGCATCTATCAGTTTCCCGCTTATGACACTCCTTCAACGACGTTGCCGGAGCAAGGGTAGCTTGTTGTCCTACTTTCTTCAGAATGCAGACATCGAAGGCGGTCAGTTAGACTGGGTAACGAGGCTTGAATTTTGGTTTGGGGATGAAGAGGGGAGAGGAACGAATATGTAAAATAGGAAGGAGGAAGGTCGTTTTCACATTCTTACCCAACAGCAATTAAGGCAACCCGGTTAATATGACCATCGAACGGTCATTGTGCTACGAAATCATTTGTAGTTGTGTTATTCTTACTGAGATATTTTGGTCAAGCTGTGGCTAACATGTGATGTCTGTAAAGTTTGTTCAAGAAATCTACTAGGACCGAACACAATCAGAAGAGGGTAGCTGCATAAGGGTAAGGCCATGGAATTAAATACTCATTCTTTGTACGGGAGACCCAGATATTAGGTCAGGCGATGTGCAGTGTAATCTCTTCCACACGTGGATTTCCTTCAGGTAGATTGTATAGATGAAATTATTGACTGGGCACGTGGCCTGGCGTGACTTGTCAAGGCTTTGCTGGCGATGATGTATAAATATTGATCTTTATGTTCGAACATAAAGAGTGGAAAGTCAAGCACTGCAATGTGGCTATGACGATTTTTCTGTCTTATGGATGGTCAGTCTCGATAGTACTGGATGAGTACCTCCAATGTTGAGCAAATAGATCCTAGACCGTCCTCACCCTACCTCACAAGCGACGGGCTCACTTTTTCACGAGCTCAGCAATGTAGTTCTGTTGAACAACAAGCACCGAAAGTTAAGTCCGAGAAGTTATCCTGGTTCCAGTGTTTCCATTTCAAAGCACACAACAAGAACAGACCCAAAAATCTAGCTCGTAAATCACACTTGGCCAAGAAACAGGAAGAAACCGAACTGAATCCTGGGGGTGGATATCCTTCTTCAGATGCGCCCGGTGGGGAAGTTACGTCGAGTGTGCTTTCTCCTCTTTCTATAGTCACCACTTCTAACGTCTCCAAAGTTACTACACATTCAACCCTCGCTTTAAATATACGGGAGGTTTGTAACGGATTTTTAGGCCTGTTCAGTTTGGTTTCGAAGGGTCGAGTCACGAGCAGTACGTTGATTACAAAATCCATTCCTGATAAGAAAACCTTGTTTCCCATGGAAGCGTGCAACACTGCAAGAATGCTAGCGACACAGAAACAATCAAGTTTCCCGTTTGTCACTGACCTCGACTGTCGGGACAAGTTTCTTGCTTGTTTTGAGCCATCCATGTTGAACAGTATCTCAGTGCCGAGCAATCTGTCTGAAACCTCAAGACAAACTCCAGCGAACTCATCATCCCATCTTTTCACACTGCATTCCAAACATCCAGTTAACTCTTCAAGCACTAGGTTGCCTAGTTCACCTGATTTAGGTTCTCAGTTTGGAACGACACGGTCGAAAACTGCTTATCGTGTGTCGGGGTCTTCCTATGCAACACCAACTGACCATCATCATGTATGCCATACAATGGACTTTAACCGCGTTTCCTCACGAACAGAGAGTCCCAATCGTTGTGGGCTTGACGCAACCTGTCTAAATGCTTTTAACCCACACTTTACGCCAGCGAACGCCACAGACACAGAAGTAATGTACCATGGGATATCACAATGTGTAGCTGAGGTCTTCCCTTCAAGACCCACTTTGGAAGTAGGTGACAAACGTGGACTCACAAACCTCGAAGAAAGTAAAAAGAAGGCCACCCTAAGTACGGACATTGATAGCAGTTACCAGAGAAACCCTGGCAAACCCAGTATACCAAAGAACACACTGCCGGCCACAAAGAGCTTGAACAAACAACAGTTAAGTTCGGATGCAACCAAACTGACAAAACACAGTGAGTATCATAGAGGTAAATCTTATCGAATCCTTACTCATCAGAAGCAAACTCCAGTAACTAAGCATGTTTCACAGTGTAAAAGTAACTCTTTACCATCAAAAGTAGACCGAGTAAAGAACTCGGTCAAATCAATCAAAGGAAGCATGGATACTTCGAAAGAAAGGTATTCAGTACTTGATCAGTTGCTTCAATCGTTTCAACAAAATTCGCCAGCCACAGAGTTACAAACGCAGCTTCCACTAGCCAACCTGTCTGATTGGATGGAGTCAATTTTGAGTGATTCAGAAGACGCTGACCCCAATTCTACTGCCGATTCTTCCCTACTTACAGCGGCTATAATAGCCCTAGCGGAACAGTCAGAGAGCACACAGGACTGCACGCCACACAGAATAAATAGAGAACAAAACGTGGCCTTCAACGAGAAGAAACAACTATCAGCAGGTCTGTACGGAGGGCTGGGAGATACGATAAACCAAGATTCAGTGTCCAGTGTAGGTGGTTGTTGGTATCCGGAAGGCCATCGGAACTATCCTCTAGTGGCTGCTTACGGTTTCCCTGCCCAATTTTGGCCATCTCTGACCTATCCACCGGAACTTAATATGGAGGACTTACAAAATTTCTACACTCCATCACGCTACCCTTCACAAATTGCCTATCATCCGTATTCCCAGGTGGTTCTGAGAGCAGATACCTATCCATGGTTAATGGCACAATCTCGGGCCTACAAAGACTGTGTGAAAAATCAGTCAAACTACTATGATAAGTGCTCACGTCGATCCAATTATTTGCGAAAACACCAGAGGAAATTACGCCACGGAAGACAACGGACGAGATTATGGTAGTTTTAACTTATACGCTGCATGCCACAATGCGTCTTGGTAATCCTGAGCAACGTCCACTGACTATAGTTGTTCGTACAAGCTGTGTAATACACCATCTTCGCTTGTTGTATAAAAGCACAGCAACCTTGAATTCCATTGTATTGCGTTTTCTTCAGAGGGGTGTAGAATTATCCTTTGATGCCTCCGGTAACTACGTTTCCAAACACCAATGACGGTTAGTTTTATGTATTGCATTGCCAGCTACAGTGCGGACTGTTTTGTTGTATAGATGTGAGAATCGGACTGTTCGGGCGGTGGAACTGAGACGTCTTCAATTGTTCGACAATTGTTGTCCCAGTACAATAGCTTGTATGGGTTAGTGTCGGCGAATCCGTAACGGGGCAATTGGAAAGTGATTTTCTGGTTATGCAACGAGAAATTTTATTGAAGAATGCATCCAGCACCAGAAGCTGCGTTAGTTGGGACATGTATTGCGTATGCCCAACCATCATTTGCTGAAGAGAGTGCTGTTTTCCATGCCTAATTCAGAGTGGCGGAAGCAGAGAGGTGACTAACCCTTGACGTGGCAGAGGGGTATGAAGAATATTACGAAAAGTTTGGGTGTTATTGGTGCTACTCGCCTTGCAGGATGGGGACCGCGTGATCCCCACTGCATCTGGTTGTAGACGCTGCAAGATATGTCTCCCGACCGACGTCAGTGCCATTTTTGTTGTCAGTTTCTATCCAGATTGCCTGAATGAGTGTTGGGCGGTGTGGGCACCACGGAATGATTGTAGTAAGCTAGGACTGAGTCCCTCCCTACCCACCTCTATTCTTCTCTTCACAATAAGGCTTTCCAATAAATCAGGATTGTAAAGCAGTGAAGCATCAGTGTTGAACACTGATGTCATTCTATCGATGGTGACGTTGCGCTTATCCTTAATTGGTCACTTGATTCTTGTTCATGGAGAACATATGGGAAGTCTTGACTGCGGGCCAATCGACTGACATTACTAGGACGGGTACTGGGTCGTCGTTCGAAACGTCTGGGAACAACCTCGGTATGGCCAAGGATATGCGTGATGTGAACGTGAATTATACAAATCCGGCAACCACCTACAGCAAGTTGTTTTTTTGACGCGCATTTCATTCTCAGTAATGTCTATTTGTAGATTGTGGGGTTTGAGGTGTGCAGTTTTCATTTTCGTATCATTTTCATCATCCAGAGTTTCTACAGGAGATTCAGTCTCCCTGTTCCATTTACGAAATTTTTTTCTGTTCCACAGAAATCGCGGAAGTATCTTTCCTTTGACTGTTTGAGATGAGCAATGGAGATTATTTTTGGGCAGTTTCAGGTTCATTTTTTTAATGCAAGTACGCCTGACATATTCATTACTGCTTGAATATTTTCATGTTTTCAATAAGAACACAGTGACGGTGAATAATGTTTAGGGAGT